TCAGGGGAAAATATTCCATCCTGTCTGTGAGGTTACATTATCTCCGAACCATTCATAACTATCACAGTTAGGGTGTCCAGATAATTAACCTTGATGAATCATTCACATGTGGCTATCGGCACCCATAGACCATCAGTAAAGTCGAGGCGAAAAAGAAAAATGGTGATTTTCATAAGGAAATTATAGGAGGTGATGTGTTCATAGACTGGTTGTAACTTCAGCTATTGCCCATTTTAAACAACCTCAGTGTGATTGTCATAGATAACACCAGTTAATATAACGTTTAGTAATCAGATACTGTCTTCAAAACCATGAGTAGTCTGAAGGTGACCATACAGGAATATATGACATTGTCGACTTCAGACCGTATGAGACGAAAGTTCAACTAATGGAGAAAATTCGGCTGAATAAGAACCCTGTAAAGTACAGGACATATGTGCTGGCAGCACAACACGGTCACGTTGTCTTACGTACGCCAGTCAGACATTGTGAACTCAACCCTGTTGTGTCCATCTTGGCTGAGTGTAAAGGGTTCGTGGCAAGACAAAACACAACATTCCAAAGTACAGATTCATATACGTCATCAAATGCTACCTCAAGAAATAATCTGAAGAACAACAAATACTTCTGGATTCCAAAACCACAACCTTCCAATACTCATCCCATTTCATAGCTCTTAACTATTCCATCATGTTTCCAAGCAAATATAATGCAGTACATATCCTAAATTGCTACCCCATCACCACACATGTCAATTAAGTACAATAACATCAATATTTTTAGACCACCCCCAAATTGGTGACATTTGCACCTGTGAGAATGCACGCGACGTTGTGAGGTCATCACCTCAGGACAGGTACGTGTTATTACCTCAGGTTATAGGCCATTTCATACATGCATGACAACACGTGAATATTTTCTAAGTTGATCATCATTTTACCTGTAAAAGTACATTTTAAGGATAATCACAGTGTCAGTTAGGAAAGGCTAGATTAGGGCAATTTGCGTTATTTTGATATATGCTCTTTATAGTTTTTGATTTGTATTTATGAAATGAAGCCAGAAAAGCAGTTTTCTAGTATGACCGACAGTACTTGAGCTTCACAGGAAATCTTCATCCAAACTTGGATAAGACGGAAGTGGTTTTATATAACTTACATTTCAATGGAGGTAAGGGTAGTTGTTCCTCATGTCTTAGCTTGAGCAGACTTTCAGACATCTGGTCTACAACCTTGCCTGCATAGCTCAGCATGGGAGCATGACATCCCCCATATACCAGCATCTGAGGTGGCAAATTGTCTGTCACAGGAGGTTGGAGTACAGGCATGAGATGATATAACTCTTCGACAAGTTCTTCAAACATATATCCCTCTGCATAATCCTGTTAATGTCAGTCGTCAGCCTGATTGGTATCACCATAGTACTCTGCTTCCACCATCGAGTGACTGAGGGTAGCTCCCATGGGGGGTGTATAATCATGGTAGTCTGCCATGTAATCCCAGAGAGGTTCATCTTCTGCTGGTGTCCAGGATTCCGGTACGATCAAAGACCGTTTGGCTTGTGATGGCTGCCCTAGAGTACGGTGATCTCCTCTGGGTCGGTATGACGTTCAGCGTGACGGTCCCCTGTAGTCTGTGCAGCTGGCTTGGGTGCCGTCTGTTGATGAAGATCATATGGTAAGCCTATCAACTGGATAGTTGGTGGATTAGCCCTGAGTCAATGTTGTTGCCCTATCGTGACCTACTGATCGGCTGATTGAACAGCTTGTCGGTCTGTGCCGTGCAGTGACAGTATAGTGTCTTGGCTTTGGGAGTTTAGCCTTGCCATACCCTGCTAGGACCCAAGCAAAGATCTTCTATCTGACCGTGTATCACGGAACGGAAAAGCCTGCTTGCTAATACCCGGCTGGTCAGATGGCTGGTCAGACTGCTGATCAGTCGGCTGGCTGTACGGCTGATTGATCGACAAGCTGTATGGCTGATCGGTTGGTTGTACTGGCTGGTTGCCAAACTTGCCACAGCCATTAGGAAGAGTTCCATTGAAGAATGATCTCTGATGTCAGTAATATTTGTGTAGTACTCATAAGAAAAATCACCAGTGGCCGAGACATCATCAGTGGTCAAATAAAAAAATATAATGCCAATCTGCTTAGGCAACTGCGTGAGAATATCTAGACTAAATGTCATCCAAAACTCACTGGAGGTGTAATGTTCAACCAGGACTACCATCAATAGCAGGAGTGTGTGGACCTCAGAGGGCATTATGATTAAAAATAATTAGCAACCAGCCCCATGAATGCGGTCAATCATAGTAAGCCTCAGGATTTTTCAGTCACCACTTGTATCATGGTTCTGTGTCTGGTATTGTTGTATTCAGTAGCAGAAGCCCCTGTCAATAAGCCAATCCCACTTAGCTTGGGGCCTTGCTGTACCTTGTTTCCCACATTTGTGCTGAGACAACAAAAACAAACACAGTTGAACCGATCAACTCAACTCGAAAGGTTGCACGGGAATCACACACTTTGAGACGCCCAACGCTAACACCGTATTCGTGCGTGAGTGATTCCCGTGCAACCTTTCGAGTTGAGTTGATTGGTTCAACTGTGTCATATGGCCCTGTGACGCAGGGGTAGCATTATGCAGATGGCTGTTACAATGAATGCTCATTCCACCCGTGACGAACAGGTCTGGTTGTTGATGAAATATTGTGATAGCTAATTAGACAGATATTTTATTCATGCACTGATTGTCTTTAAATGTAATATCCAGTTATGTATGACTACTCTCATACCAAATTTGACTGGAGTAGGTCCAATAGTTTTTCAGATATTGTAGTAAACGTTGGTACCATAAATTACCTTCCAGACTATAATGCTGGTGCCTTTCTCAGAAGAGACTGCCACTCTTGCCGCGAACAACCTGTGGTAATCATAGTTGGCTGTCCCACCATAATGAGTGGCCAAATCAATCACTGTCTGTTCATGGCCGTCTAGTTGACGTCGTTTCTCTGCATTGCCAGCACAGTATATGTCCTTGTATATTCCAAATGCCTTGATGAATTCTCCAAGTGTTAATGAGCGATTATTCCTTGGTTCATCACGTAAGTTTAAAGTCTGTCCTTTAAAATCTGACAGTCTGTCTAAATTTGCCTGATTTGGCAGAAGAAGCAAGGCTAAATTTACATATTTACCTTGTTGTATTCTCCTTTTTAGAGTGGAGGAAATGGTGTGTATGTGTGGCAGTGAATCCGAGGGTACATCCCTGTGTAGCTGTCTGGGAACATCACTACTTGCTCCTGTGGCTTGTCTTGACTCCTCTCTGGGTTGTCGTTGTCACTGGTGGTGGTAAATATACATGTAGGAGGTTGTAATTGTTGTCCCAAGTTCATGACGATAGACTTCAATTCGGCGATCTCCCTTTGTAATGAAAACACTGTCACTGTATTTTCTGTGGCACTAGCAGAATTTATCAGAGCAAAATCCTGTGAACTGTCTCTCTGTAGCGGCGCATCAGTGTCTTGATCTTGACTGACTGGAGCTGGTTGAGAGATCATAGCGGTGGTGACCTGACCGTGCTGTTGGTTCCTGTCATCACCCTCAGATTTCATTGTAGCTCTGCATTAATGTCCGTCTGAACCAGGAAGCGGGCACATTGACACCCATGTCTGTCAGACATCGAATATCAGCTGCTTTTAAATATGGAGAGCGTCTGTTTATATTCCTGTCAGAGGAAGCTGGGCTAGACATTTCGCCACAATCGTCCCCATTGTTGTTTTCATTCAGGTCAGAGGTCGTTTCCTGCTTAAACCTTTATGTTGATTGAGATCTGGCTTTAGATCGTCATCTGTCAGCCATTGTTACGATTAAAACAAACAGTTGTACAGCATAACATGACAGGATGGCAAAGTATTGTTGTAGATTTTCCTTGGATGACCATGATTCATAATGACAGCTGAGAGAACAATGGAAACAAGCTAAATGACATTGAGGCTCTTGTTGTTAATATATAGATAAACAAAATGCATATCATATCAGCACTCAGCCATAATTGAGATCGAGGTGTGAACAGAACTCCTTCCAGGGATCAATAAAGATCTCAATGAGATGTTCTTCCTCAAGCAATTTAACTACATCCAGTCACATCTTTTAGAATAGGCAGCCACATAAGAGATAAGGTAGTCAGGTAGGGTTTAAATTTCCTTAACATAATATCAAACCAATCAAAGCTCATGAGGGTGGTAGGTATTTGTTATGTTTTCTCATTGGAACCCCTTTTTCCACAATCATGTATTACTGGAAGATAGGTCCTCTTCCTGAGCTTACAGCTGGTGTTTAAGATCAGTCACAGCATACTGAAGACTTGTGGTAGAGACGGCATGTTCTTAACCAACCTCACTGGCACCCAACAAAGTTCCTAAAGGGTCTGATATTAGCACCAAGCTATGGCCCTGTTACTACTTATTAACATAAGCCCTGCCATGACCATCAACTGAAAGCACATTCCATAGCACACAGCTATCAGTTCTGCCATCACCTATAAAATATGTCTGCCAGTAACAACAAAATGTGAAACATCAGCCAGGATGTGTCACACCATTTTCTTCCAAGCCTGCAAACTGAACTGGGTAGCCAGCAATTACAAATTGCCACTATCAGCCAAAGGAAAAATAACCTCCCCTACCAGCAAGTATGTCACAATCAAGCCCCTTGTTGGGTTATCAAGATTTGAAAACCAGCACTCAGAACACGGCAACCACACACCACCCCTAATTCCACATCTGACATCATATACTATTATCAATTATTGAGGAGTAATGATGAAGGGCAACATGTTTTGCCAAATTCAGCAATGTCCTGCAGTTTGAGAGCTAAAACTTTATAAATCATGACATTTACGTTACACATTCATAACATCAATCAGGTTTTACTCGAATTTAATTTAAGTAAATAATTTGACAGCCTGAATGATTTCCTCTAAATCATGTACAAACGTTACACTTACCCTCACAAGATTATCAAAGGACTTGAAAGCTGCATTTGTTATTCGTTCTTGCAGAACATTACTGAGGCCTGATATATTCTCATTCAGGAACACATGACAGCAATCCATGTGTGTCATCTGAAAAGAGATATTAATCTTTCATATAACTTTTGATACAATATATATATATATTGTTGAGACAATCTCATATGAAACTGCAGGCATATAGACACTAACTAGCCAGAGTGTGAAGTCTGTCGAGAGGATATGTCACTGTCATGTAATGTGAGGAACTTCATAATAATACTCCTCTAAGTTATTTATAGTTATCACAACAAACATTCACAGAAATTATCGCCACATTTTGTAAAGCTTTGTTTGTTGTTTTACACTTCAGTCAGCAATAGTCCAGCTATGTCATCGCATAGTCTGTTGACATAATTAAGGTCAGGGATTCCCATTACAATCCAATTCAACAAGTAAAAAGATTCTAATACAGGTCCTCACAGAGTTTTCAGGTACTGCAGTTTTTCAAACAACATACACTACATTTCAAAAGTTTATTCCCCTGTATTGCAGAAATGTTTCAGGATACGTTCCCAATCCTGCCATGAAAGTGACACAAAAATGCTGGGATAATACCATGGAGTGGCATGCTAGTGCCCCAAAAGCTGTGCAATAGTGCCGCAAAAGTGGTGCCATATTGGTACAGAAATGCTGTTGTGTGTTACTTTATGTATATTGGATGCAAAGATACATGTACATGTATGTTCAGTCTAACCTGGGGCTATATTAAGCCTATGCAAAATATTTGTTCCTCATGCTATATTTAGAAAGGTGTAGCCAGTTATATCCATTAACAGAACAAAGCTTTACATGGACATGTTCTTAAAAAGTGGTTTTTTTCTCTGCATGGATACAACACCTATTCTATATTAATCAATAAGAAATTCATAGGCAAATATTTATATTCACTAATGTGTGAAAGTCAGGCTTACAGATTATATGGAACAGTATGGCTTATATGATAAGTTCGAATCGGCTTACAGGCCAGCTCACTCAACAGAAACTTGTCTTCTGAGAGTCATGAATGATCTGCTGGCAGCTTCTGATAAAAGCAAGGTAGGACTCAACCCTGATAAGACCGAGGTCATACTCACAGGGAATACCCGATCTGTTGCATCAATATCCGAGTCATTCTTGACTGTTGATGGAGTTGATAACCCCTTATATTTGACTGTCAAAGACCTCAGAGTCTCACAATATCTGCAAAAGTTTCTACTTCCACATTCGAAATATCAGTCAGATAAGACCCATGTTGACATACATCAGCTCGTGAGGTCACTTAACCTATCCAGGTTGGACTATGCTAACAGTCTGCTCATTATTATCAAACAGGATCTATGTAGCAAATTGCATCGTGTGCAGAATGCTGCTGCCAGATTGATATGTAGACGAAATAAGCGTGCATATGTCACACCTTTATTAAAATCATTACACTGGCTTCCAATAAGATCTAGGATTGAATACAAAGTCGTGTGCATTGCATACCAGTGCTACTATAGTACAGCACCTTCCAAACTCCAGTTTAGTGTCCCTATGGTCTCACTCAAACATTCGGCAACGGAACTTTTGCTCATACTGCATCTGTGCTCTGGAATTCCCTTCCAGTGGAAATTAGGCAATCTCCAACTCTGGACACTTTCAAGACAAAAATAAAGACTTATCTCTTTAGATGTGTCTATGACCCTGTGTGAGGCGGAAATGGCGCTGAAGAAATGGACTTTATTATTATTATTAATGTGTGTGACATTCATGATAACTCATTTGTATCAGTTATTAATTGTCTTTGGAATCAGGAGTAGTGTATGGGAACGCAATTCCCAGTGGTGCCTGAATACAGTGATTGTGTATTTCTAGATTCACCCCAATTTTGGTCCTCAGTTCATCTGATTCATACACACTAAGGACCTGCATTCTTCTACCACATGATCCATAAATGTCTGAAATGCTGAGTGTTGACAGTGGCTATCAACACCTACCCACTTGTTATATTGCTTTGGCTACAAAAAAAACCCCAGAAATGTTCAATGTTGAAATTACAAACCCCAGGACTTTGTGTCTGCATTAAGTCTATGCTTAAGATTTGGTACATAAAAGAGGCAAATGAACAGGTGGCATAGGGGTATTAGATGGCTTGGTGAATAATATAATTAATATACTTATACTTAATACTTGGTGATATAAACAGTCGTAATAGATCATGTCATTCTGTGTATCTGGGTAATAGGCATTACACAATATGAGTTGCTGATCTGACTTCTACATCTACATGTATTAAATACAGGTTCGCCTAAACTTGAATTACGTTATGCAGATTGATGATGCTATTTGTTTTGCCAAACAAATGTTCAAATGATTTTAGTAACACAGCTAGCTTCAGTTACAGCAAATACAATCTTTAAAAAATATGAAATCAGGTCTATGTTTGTGAATATGAACAACTCCTTCCTGTGTGATGCACAGATATGCATTACCAAGCAGCATCATGTGCTGCAATCAGCAATTCAGCTTATTGAGCCATTCTGATTTTAACATTTATTTCCTCAATTATCATATGTACACATGTATACCATCCCAGTGACAGAAATATAACCTGTTTTGTTGAATAGATAGACAAACATAATATCCAAATTACTCTCCAAAAATTACATTAATTTCAAGACCATGCACATCACATAACAACACTGAAAAAGGAAACAATAAATCAAAAGGGAAAATAGGTGTGGTAAGGAGATTGACTATGTAGGTCAAGGAATAAGAATGTCCTTGCTTGACAACGGTATAAGGATCTATACCGAAACGTCGCCTTTACAGTATTAAGGAAGTTGTTATCCATAAATTGTGTCTACTTTGTCAAGAAATAATGAAGTCAAGACAGCAAAAACTAAGATAATGAAAACAATATTAGCGTCTAAAATGAACTCACATACCAGTTGTGAAATATGTAACATAAACAAAAGAGACCAAATGAAAGAAAGGGGTTGGGTTTCAATTCAGCTTTTTTCAATAATATTGGGAAGCCATGATTTATTTTTACTGGATAGACAATGCATGTCAGTCATGCTAACATTTTTTACCTGTATGTCGTGGTTTCATAAATTCATATGGGATGGATGTGTTCTTAAGTTTTACAAATACTAATACTATAATGATAGTGGCGTGAAAGTGTTGCAAAAGTCCCGCGATCTTGTAACATGTTGTTGCGAAAGTTGTTGAAAGTTGTGCAATAGTTTCACGTTAAAGCCTCAAAAGTGGTGCGATAATTCTGTGTTAGTGCTGCAATAGTGGCAGGAAAGTTTCATGAAAATAGGGAAAGTTACTTATGAAATGTAGTGTAGTCAGCAATGGCTAAAGTGAATATGATGGTGTCAAGGAGAAACATATAATCATTATCACCAACAGCATGGTTGCAGACAAAATACAGGAATAATGGCAATGATGTAATAGAGGTAGAGGATTCGCAAGAATTACTGATAACACAACTGACCATTAACCAAAATGGCTGATAATGTATAATATTTTGCATATACCTCTGACAGGACAGCTTCAACTCCATTCAAAAGGACAGTTTGCAATTGGTCATTTGTTCTTGAACTTCCAAAGTCAAGCTTCAGCAAACAGTTCCAGTTCTGACAAAATGTACAAAAAACATAAAGTATCCTGACAAAATAGATATACAGTAAGCTATGTTTATATCGAACACGCCTATAAGGAACTGACCGATATAACAAATCGTCCTTAATATATTCTCAAATACATACAAAACGCCAACACCAGACGTCAATAAGCCTCAATCATCTGAGAACCTAGTAAGGTTTAGTGCTTATTTGTTTAATTATCTCTTTGTAGATTTATATCATGTTTTCTACCCCAAGTGTACTGCCATATACACACTGACTACTGCAAGAAAATGCATTTTATAACATACATTTGTATACATAATTATTTGAATCGGATTTACTTACAAGAAGTACTTTCCTATAAACAGTTGCTTCTGTGGCATAGGTCTTTCAGTTAAATGTTTCAGTGTGATTTGAACTAACTGACTTCAGTCAGAATAAAAAAAATTCAAAGTCAAGGCAAAATTTACATTTAAACATGATTACAGGAAACTAGGAAACTAGTTCTAGTTGTAGAACTAGATCCAACATACTTAACAGAATGTATCAAATTATATTGAAGAATAAAGAGTGTATAGAATTTGTTAATCACAATACAATTTCAGAAAAAAAAAACAGAAATGTATATCGTTAACACCTATCCTTAGTGACATAACAAAAATCATATGTCAATAGAGTAAATGACACTCACCTGAAGGCATCTGCCACGCATTACTGTTTGAGAAAACAGTGTCTGCATCCAAATATTGATAACTTTCCAACATTCCAGAATCTGATCGTCTCCTTCTTTTACACTATCCAGTTTAGAAGCTGCATGTTCATCTTCATGAAATGTACAGTCATAGACACTTGATGCAAACAAGTCTGCAGCTGCATAGATGAATTCATCTGTGCGTGGTGTATACCACTGGTACTTTTTTATCAAATCTGTTGTAATCTTCAAAGTCAAGTTTCTTTCTGCAAAGCACTTCTCCAAGGAGCTAGTCCAATTTAAACACAAAAGGAGATAACTAAACATATTATACCTCCCAACAATACTCTAGAATTAATTCACAAATTAACAGTACTTCCAAACATGCTAAAGGGCTGGATTTATCATGTCACCTCTTAACATCCATGAGATATTTAATTATTATCAGCTCGGGTATTGAGGACTAATTGACAAATATGAAATAGATAATTAAATTTCATCAATGTTTCTCCAACAATGAATGTTACATATAATAAAAGAGTGCCTTGACACTGTAACTCACCTTAATATGTAGACAAAAACAAAGACATCTACAAAACCACAGTTGTTGTCACCATTTGTATTCAAATAATTTCTGCATAAATACTAGTAAGTAACACTAAAATCTATTGAACTGAGCAAATATTATGTTATCATAAGGAGAAACATGTATGTCAAAGTCTGACAAATTCAAAGGAGAAGACATTTTCAGAGGCAAAAATGCATTTTAGGAGAATTTTAGAGCACAGTCAAAACAATATGTCAAATATAACAAACTGAACATTTACAAACAAAGACAACAAACAAAGCATGTTACTTGAACTCTTTACTTACACGTTTGGCATTAGGGAGTTCTAAGGTTAAAGGTATTGAGTAAGAGTTGCATGCCCTTGCTCTGAATTTGGGCATCAAAGGGTTTCGCACCCATTAGTGAGATGCTGAGTCGCCTTGAAGTCAAACGAAGGCAAAAAATTAGTTGGGGTTTCGAGCCCACAACCTACCAATGACCAGCGGATTCCCCTGAATTACAGAGGGGATGATTATTCCGTGATACGAAAATACCTTTAACCACCACCCCAAAAAACAACAACATATCTGATCATGTTGCATATGAATATTAGTTGTAGCATTTAAATATAAATGATATTGGTAACATAACAGGAAGAGAAAAGAAGTATCAATTGGTGGATACAGTTGGGGAGGTGGTGGGATACAAAGTTTACGAACTAATGTTATGATCGAGCTACAGATGGTGGTGTGAATGCTCAGAATTGTCACTACACAATGTCGCTTCACACAAACACAAATGTACACAAATACGTAATAAATCTGATGATCATCAATACTCTTACTACGGACTGCATAAATACTATCAACTGTACGTAATAAGAAATTTTATTATGCCTGAGATATTAGTATGCTTATGCAATGTACTTGAAATATTGTCACCAGTCGCATACAACAAATAAAATTATAACATAAACCTATTGTTGTAATGGAATGAAAACAAGATGTATGTCTATGGTTTTAAACAAACCTCAGTATTTTGAAGTGTCAGTATATGTTGAGCCACACTACTAAAGACATATGTTCCAAATATCATTACATTTTAAGTAAAAAAAAGTGAGTAATAGCAATAAAAAATAGGACTTTTCAGTATGGTCAAAGTGTAAAGCTTAAATCAAGGACACAATTTACAATATATCAAAATTTACAAGTTTACAATCTCAGAAAAGAAAAAGTTCAATACTGTCAAAACATTTGATTTTTCTACTTTGTACACCACTATCCCACATGACACATTTAATGAAAAACTTCATTCCTTGATCCATGGGGGCTTTTGTTACAAAACGTGGTGATCATAGAAATAGTTACATATCCATCTTCAGGGGTTCAGGTCATTTGTGAAAAATGAAAGCAAATGCCATCTGAGGTTCACTGAGAAAACAATAAGTGAAATGCTTGACTTTCTAATTGATAGCATCTATGTAAAATTCGGGGGTAAGACATTAAGGCAAGAAGTAGGCATCAGCATTGGCACCAAGTGCGCTCCCCTTCTTGCTGATCTGTCATTTTATGCATATAAATTAGAATTTTTGCACAGGTTGGCAAAACAAGGTAATTTAGGGAAGAAGTTTAACTTAAGCTTCAAGTCATTTGATGATCTGATGCCGTTCAATAACAATCAATTAGGCAATTCCCTTCCACTGATTTACCCACCTGAAATAGGAATGGAGGAGACCAGTGTGACTGCCTCGACTGTTTCATATTAAGATCTATGCATAAAGATTAAGAGTGAGAAAACACTCTCCACAAGACTGTATGACAAGAGGGATGACTTCAACTTTCCAATAGTCAACATTCCCTTTATGTCGAGCAATATTCCTGCAGCTCTATCCTTCAGTGTCTACATTTCACAACTTTTGAGGTATACTCGAGCATCATACAACTCATGCTCAGAAATTGTTTGGTTAAGGTTACAACATTCAAGGCCTCAGTAAACCTTTCAATGTTTTAGGGTAGGCATGTGGAGGACATTTACAAATTGTGACAAAAAAATAATGTCCAATGCAATTCCTTACATGTCTTTTGACTTGTACCATATGTTCCAGTGGGTTTTTTTCCAGGTGAACAATTGATTTGCCTTTGCATGTGTTTGTGATGGGTACCACCCCAGTGGGACAGGATACACTCACCTTTTCATTATCATCATTATTTGATATTTGTTTTTTGTATTTGTATTTCTTATGTAATTCAAAAGAAGGAACATATACGTTGAGCCCATCTTCTAACTACATCTACTAAATCTCATTGCATATTAAACAAAACTGACTGAGTAATGGTCACAAACAGGTTTTGCAATATAGGGCCATACTGAATAAATCAGCTTATTGATCAAATTGTGGTGTCTTCATTGGTCCAGTGGTTTCTGTCCAGTGTAAGGAACAACACTTTGAGAGAATTAAGTTGAAGGTGTAAGTGCAAAGTTCAAATAAGGGTAAAAATTCATCCTATTGCTATGAATTCAAATATATATGTTGAACCTCACTACTCATACATATATCAACGCGTGTCGGTCTGACGTTGATTAATGAACAATTTGCATACTCGTATATGCAAGAGGCCGACGTATGGTTCTCAGTAGGAAGTGACAACTTGGAGACGATGGCTTGCAGTATATACAGTTTTACTTTATACATGTAGATAGATACATACAAATGACACTATGTGCCAAGTCAGCACATAGTGGTAGTGCTTGTTGTCTTGGTGCCCCGGAGCACCCAGCCTAACCCTAGCTAGGCTAAGGGTAAGACCTTTTTTTCTCCTTGACTGACTGATATAGAAGATTTAACGTGCGCTTTCCGACTGCAGCGTATTTCGCACACGGGCATGGCCAGACCATTTAGTGTATTCCGAGAAGGGTGAAAGTGGTGTGTGCAACACAAGAGGGGGCTTTCAGGTGTTGCTTATATCGATTTTTTGAAATTTTAAAATTTGGAATAATTGCCGAGGTGGGTGGAGGAGGGAACTAAGGGAGCCGGGTGAGGTGGGTGTTTGTATGTTTATTGGATTTTGAATTGGTAGATTAATTAGTTTTTAGATGCGCTTAATTAGGCCTGTTTTGTTTTCTCCTTTCTGGACCAAGGCTTATATAGCCAAGGTCACCTGACATTTAGTAAGTAATAAATATAAATGTAAACAGTAAATCATCAGTGACATACTTGCACATCCTGTTCAGGATGGCAGACGGTCGATGTACACAAAAATGGGGATTAACAAATAGGATTAGCATCTAATAAATAACAGCAATTAAGTGTTTCAAGGCATATAGATGTCATGGCTCCAGGGTAATGAGCCTTTGCAATCAAATGTTCTTCAGACAATGGATGTCGTAAATCAGTCGCTATGACAACTTCCCTCCGTCACGTGAAGCTTGGACCCCAAGCTTACATGAGTCCAAATTGATATGTGAGAACTTTTTCACCAATGAAAACAACCATGCAAATGTGATCAAAATCAGTTATATGAAATCCTTATGCAACAAATATATCTATGCAATGACGGTATGAAAGTGATCATCTAGCCAATTTGAATTAGTGCCAGTTTGAAAACTAACCAAGTGATCTTTATAATGTGCAATTTCACTACAAGGTAATTACTGCTTTGCACAGATTCAATAAATATATCACTGAAGGTTCTTTGAATTCAGGAGTCTGGCTTGGCGGTGCGACTCAGTACCGAATAATGATAATGAGTAATGTCATAAAAAGTACAAATTAAACATCTCAGCAAATATTTCGCATAAAGAAATTTGAAACCAGGAGTCTAGCTATACCGTGTGACTCAAACGGTACTTGTGGGTACTATTGCCCTTTTAAGTACAATGGGTGCTCTTCCCGTGTCTTTGACGGAGCTTGCCCAGATATTGTGGGTGCGATGCCCAAGAAAAAAATCCTTAATTCCGACATCAAAACTCTGAAATGCTGAATACTGCTGTGCTGTTAATTACTTAATACTGACATACAATAAACATATGTGTGGGGGTGGCTGACTCAAGAATATCCCTAATCTGAATTCAAAGTCCTAGACAATACATTTTAATTTTGTACCAAACTGTGCACATTAATTACTTGTAACAAATGACAAATTTTGTCGTTTAGATTTTTGAAATTACGAGTCGAGCTTAGAGGTGTGACTCGATAACCCTACAGCTTAGGTTTGTCTGGGCCCTAGCTGCAACTATATGTCTGGCGTGGCCTGGAGACATTTAAAAGATTCCCTACACAATAACTTCAAAGATCTAGCTTGACTAAAGATGTAATTTGGAGTATATTGCACACATACAAAACTGAATTTTGGAAAGACACATTTTGGCATTAATATACTGGCTTTGATTAAACATACCTGGTTGCACTTTTCAACAGTCACACAATATATATCCTTGATTGAGTCCATGTAAGTAAACACAAATTAGTAAGTCCCAATGAGATATCTTGTACACAGTGTCCATCTTGTAGGTGCCCGTGAGGCGGTTTCTGTATTGTGCAGGGTCTGCATGAAGATCTCTGTGGGATAGGCGTGTATACTTCTTTTCTTAGGTCATGTGCAGGAACGACATCTTGAAGGGGAAGTCTTAGCAGTGTTGCTAAGATATTCGAGCAGGGAAGGTTTGGGATCGGAGAACTTGTTCTTGATTGGAGAGGTTCTTGTTCTTTCTTCAATCTTGTTAAAGGCCATTTCTTCGTTCTT